ATAAAATAATGAAATTATTGTAATAGCTTAATGCATGCTATTAAATTTGCACTATCAACTTGTGATAAAGTGTAAATCCCCCCCTTTCACTTTAGCTAACACACTACTTGTGTGTTAATTCTTTTCCGTACTTCTGTTTCTCTGATCGATTTTCATCAGAATGTAAACTATATATTTTATATAGCATAAGAATTTGTTGTTTGAGAAGAATGATGTGGCTGTTAGCAAGATAATTATGGCTAGTAATTACTAATTTATAAATTAAACTACAAAACGTGGTTTCAATAAGTCTCTCAGTTAGGTTTTAGTTCTTGTGTGCTATTAAGGTTGCGATAGACTTTTATGTAGCTTGAAGACAAAAATTCGTCAAAACAAGGGAAAGTTAAACACTTGTAATTAGATAATTAATCTCACATATAGAGGAATAATTTTAAAGCACGCAGAAAAGTAAGCTATAAAATTTATACGGTTATTTGGATTTCTCTATATCTGGAATCCGAATGACTGGCAATTATTGTGTACCTGTGAAATGCCAATTTTACAATTTGCAAGAACTAACCATTCTACAGAAACTCACTCAATTATGTAAAACATTTGTATTATTTATTGTCTTCATCATTCAGAGTGATTTTTAAGTTAACTGGTAAGCTCTAAAAATAGCTTGTTTTAACTATAGTTTATGCAATAAACCTTAAGCTTTCTTTTAAGAGTATATCATAACAAGTATACTACACTAGATAGAATTCGGCAATTTTTTGCCGGGAAAGGTACTACACGACAGTTCAAAAACCGGTTTCGATTCTACTCCGTTGTCGATTTTGCGAGGTTGTCTATCCTTCTTCGATGTTAATCTTATGCAGTACCCTAGAAGTAACAATTTAGCCAAATTCGTAACCTCTTATTTACACACCGTTCCTAATTATAATCCTCGGCATTATTAAGGTAATATTGATTATATGCTTGAGCTGATTCTGTAAAGCTGACAAAATGTGCACTGTCATTCATTATCAAATCATTATCAAAATTTTCCCATTGTGTTGATCATATGATGGTTAATAGCATCAGCAGTACGCCGGTGTTGATTTTGTGCCAGTGTCGATTTAATGCAGTAGCGATTGTGTGCAGCGTCGATCATATGCCACTGTCAATTCTACACAGTATCAAATTTATAAATGTAAGTCTTTCATAACTTGGTACTAAATAAAAGCATTAAATTCCTTTAAAATTTGATAAAAATGTAAATAAATCTAAAAAGATTCAGAAATTAACGTAGCAGCAGAGGGTTTCTTAAGGTTTTTATATGCTGTCGCTGAGCTCACATTTATGAATCATTAGTATGCTCTTGGACTCATTCCAAGAGGCGTAGCTAGGGTGGAGCAAGGGGGGACATCTGTCCCCAGGCTCAGCATCAAGGGGGCGCCAACAAATTGATATTTAAATTCCCAATTAAGTGTTGCCATACATTTTTTTATATTCAGTATATTATTTCTTTCAGCATAATACATGATAATAATATTTGGTGAAAACATCCTTTTATTTTTGTTGCCATCACTTTTTTTTTTTTTTTTTTTTTTTTTTTTTTTACATCCGCTATATTATTTCTTTAAAATGATACATGGTGATAACATTTGGTAGCAATATCCCTTTATTTGAAAAGTGATATGGACACAAAAGTGATAGCAACAAAAAAGAAAAGTGACAAACGAGATTAATTACACTTCTTGTGCTAATAATATAGAATTATTTTAACGTTTCATATATTTTCAATGTTTCTTGCTTTTGTTGTTTTGGGGAATTATTACAAATTAATCGGAAATAAAAATGCAAAATCATAAAATATTTTCTCTCTCTCTTTCCCTCCTTTTTTTCTGTGTGTGTATGTGGTCTTATTTCGTACACTGGCATGGTTGAAACGAACATACTACAAATTTGTGTTGCAGATTTCTATTCTTTAAAATTTCCCATTTCACAACTTTCTTCTTCTTATAAACTAGTCAATGCTATCTTTTAAATTTGCCATCGTGTTTAACTTTAGTGTAATTTTTCATGTATAAGAATAATGTAAAATGTAGCAGAAAAAAATTAAATAAAAAACACAAACGATTGGTTTTTGTGTCGAATGTGCGTGTAAAACACTGTTGATTTAATCATGTGAAATGAACATACAAGATGAGTCATATATGTTTGAAGCAAATGTGGTATGTTAGTGCAGTGAGCTCAAATTGGTGGCTGACGTGCGGCCCCTCGGAGCAATTTTATCCGGCCCTCGAACACATTTCAGTTACGTATTTGTTGCAAATACGATGCTTGTACTTTTAGAGGCATAGAGATATGTATTGAGCTTTTGCGAGTGGCTGCTGTTGAAGGAAAAAAAGACAGAATGAATAGGTTAGGGCTTCATCACGTTATGATTGTATTGCAAGGCTGCGTAACTAATCAAAGGTGGGAGAACTTACCATGCCGGTACAATCAATAAATTTAATTAATCACCCGACAGTTGGTAGTGCTTCAGTATTTTGGTGCTTTCGGTTTTTCCTGTAGAGTTGATGTACTTGGGATATATGCTTTTAAGCCAGTCACATTGTTTTGCTGTTGCGCAGCTGCGCATTTCATATTGCTACATAGATAAAAGACAAACTAACGTACGGCTTATAATCCTGTTCATTTGTACTTTTTATTTGATCTATCTTATACCAATATCTATGTTTGGAATATTACATATATTTTTTAATGTTGCTTTTGAACGAATTAAAAATGTAGCCTATAGAAATTTCTTAAAAGCACCGACTTTTATATTTCAAATACAAATTAAATATAAATTTGAGTTTTTCCCTTATATTATTATAATTAGTATTGCTTATATATTCATTATAGTTATTTAGAAAATGAAATTTAAAATTTAGTTAATTTTTTTTTATTTTGTGAAAATCAATTTTGATTTTGTTAAGAAAAACTTCGATTAAAAAAATTCAGACCCATCAGTGTTTTCAGATCATGCATTCGGCCACCATGCAGTTTCTGTTTGAGACCATTGTGTTAATGTATTTAGTCGATGGAAATTGTAAGTTGTATACCAAACCTGGAACTTTATTTCTCCATTTTAAATACGAATCACATGCCCGAACTAAAATCATTAACTAAGATGGCTGCGTACATACACGAGGCCTTGCACTACCTTAAAGTGCCAAATCTGCTAGAACCATAAAATGCCCCTCCCTCCCGTTAAACGACTTACCGTTCCATCAGGGTTAGAAACTCAGAATGAAGCTTTAACATGAGAACTGTTTATTAATAACTCAGTCTGATGGTAATTAAAATGTATAGTAGAAACAAATCTATGATAATTTGTGGGTAATTCAGAATACAATTTCAAGTCTAACTGAATAGGAAAATATATATTCAATACGTCCAAATCATTCTCGGCTCGGCGGTAATTATTCGCAAAGAGGATTCTAGGAGCTGAAACCAATAAATGCAATTCTAGTGGGAATTGATGAAATTTGAAAGTACGGGTAATCTAATAAAATATCTGAGTTAATTAAGGTAAAACACTATACGTGCAGTAGTATGTTACAATTGCAACGTGTGCAAGTGACTACCAGGATGATCGTGAGACTGTGAAACTGGCGAGATATGATTCTAATATAATATTGTTGTTGTCAGCTGTGGAAAAATAGAGATCAGAAGTGCTGACAGAGGGAAGCTTCCATTAAAGGAGACTTCCTGGAAGAATTCGCAAAATCACGATGTAGCAATATCGATAATGATTGTGGAAGCCTTTATAAATAATCTCATAAAAAGAAGTAAATTGATTGGTTGTTATTCTCGTGCATTTCTTTGGTGTGAGAAATCAAATTTCCAGTGGTATCATTTTGCCTCCAGTAGGAATAATGCTATCATTACAACAAGATATGCAAGCAAAGTGCATCCATACATCTAACTCACTCAACGTATACCGCTGGCTGTGATATGATTCTAAACTGTCATCATTTGCAAAACGAAAAACTGCAAAACCGCTGTTTCGAGAAAAATACATTTAAATGTTTATCATTCACGAAAGAAATTCAATCTTTAATTCTGCTGCATAACTTGTAGAGACGTTAGGTTATTTCGAAGCAAGAAAGATAAAAAAGGAGCAATGCCCTTGTCGGGACTCGAACCAAGGACCTCTCGAATACGCGTCAAGTGTGCTGACCACTACACCACGAAGGCATGCTAAGAAGGTGGGAGAAATGCCTTATAAACTATCATAAATTCCTCTAATCGAAAATGTATCTTCTCATTTTTTTATTGTTTTAGATAGGTGCTAATTTCATAGCATCAGCATCTTGTTAAAACTGCGAACCTGCACTATTCTCTCTGTAAAGTTACAAGCATTAGCAAGTTACTGATTATATAATAATTAAAAATGCACAGCGATTTTGTACTGTGCAATATTTTTTCTGAAATATCCATGCCATGTATCAGTATGCCACCTCTCATACCATTTATTCAGCGTTAGCCCTCCAATTAACCGAAGCTATTTATATTAGGATTAAACACTTGAGTGATTGTGAGGTTACTGATATCTATATTCTATTTAACATCAGTTAATCATGTACCTTAAAATTTAATGAAGGTTAATGTTTCATAATTTTAAAGGTAAAACCTAGTATATATGATATAAAAATTCATTTTTCACAATATGGTTTGGAGAAATTCTTGAAAATTTTGATTAGCAATACTTCTCTTTTTAAATTAAGTATACTTTTTCATGATGAACTTTGCTGATGTTTTTAGTTATATTAAAATTCTAATCTCATCATTCGCTTAACTACCTTTTGCTCTCCTGTTGACCTGCATGCTCGAGGTCAGTCGCTAAATGAAACCCGGGCTTATGAAATGATTGCGGTTACAGCGAACACCGCGTGTTCGTCGTAGTATTTAAGCTTTAAGAAGAATCATTTACCGCTCGTTAATCATTTCAACCAGCGTTGTCTCTCTGGAAAGTCTCAACTTTCAACGGCGCCGCATCCAACACCGAGTGAGACAGAGATCCTTTGCATCCATCAAAAGCTTGACTGAGAAATATCTTCGGAGACAATTTCTCTATTTCCTGCCGATGTTGAAACAGCGCTCTCTGCTCGGAGCTATCGGTAGCGCTGTTCGTAGCTACTAAACCGCAAATGATTATTAATATTTTTATTTTATTTTGAAAAAAAAGAGAAGTTTTTTAATTGAAAAATTTTAATTATCAAGTTATGGAGATGTGCGAGCATGAAATATGTCTGGAAGGAGCAGATAACAACTCAGGTAAAAAGACATTTGAATGTTTCTGACCACTGTAAAATCAAATCTGTTACATGAGGATTTGTCCAGAACGCTCTTTTCTATTATGCTTTAATATTGTTTAGTGTTTCGAAAACGTATGTGTTATTTATTTAAATTAACTAAAATTATTTAATGTTTTGAAAACATATGAAGTACTTATTTAAATTAATTCCTTATTTATGCTGAATCAGTCTGTATTTTTACTCTTTCCAACAGTTCTACATGGTATCCAAATTAGTTAGTGTAAATTACGAACGCGTATGCACGTTTAAGAAAGAATTAATAGTTCAGCATCTGATGATACAACGCTTATACTTTTCTCCCGACTGGGAAAATGTGATGCTGTTTCGGTGAATTCTAGCTTTGCTAGTATTAATATTTTGTACATCGCGCTTGTTTTGATATATACGTTTTTGTTTCATTTTTTTCTATATAAAGTACAAAAAAATCTTCAGGAATTCTACTCTTTTTTATTGAATTTGTGATCTGATGTCTGAGAAAAGACAAGGCAATATTAAGGTTAAACTGATTTTTAGATTAAATAAAATTAAGTTTAACGTTACAGATTTATTCGCTCTTGCTCTAATAATTGCCTACTCCTTTTAAAGACTGAATGTAAGACCTGTGTCCTGTTTCGAATCTAAAAAAGCAGTATATGTCATATAAAACTGTTATACATTTTAATTGAACACTTTCTGCATTTAATGTAAAATTTTCGTTTCATTTCAATTTTAAAAGCGTGCTAGAAAAGACTGATTATGTCTATTTTATACATTTGTTTCTAATTTTTTTAACTACCTTTTCCTGAGAAGCTTCTGTGAAAGTAGTACGTTAATAACGTGCAAATTACTGTTATGCACCATCTTTACCTTTGCTATGATTTGTCTCATTCTTTATTATAAATAAATCAAAATTTATGTGAGACGTAAATTCCAAATTTCTTGTTACAGATTTCCCGTTTAATCAAAAAATCTTAGAAAGTGGGAAAGATGATAACCGACCAGGGAAAGTCAATGACAAAAAATTCATTTACACCATAATCATTTTAGAACACATAATTAAATGTCATCTCTTGATTCAATGGTATACTTGCACAGTTGTCATAAATCACGGATATTTTACTCTCATTTATTTAAAAAAGCTAAAAATAACAGACTAACTATCAGAATGAGTTCTTTTGGTGTTTTTTTGTATATAAATGAATTGTTTTTATAAATTTCAGCATTACTTAATATTTAATGATTTGTTAGCAGATAAAGTTTGAAGTTTTCATTCAAAAATATAGTAATATCCCAGTATTAGCTGCTGTAGTATATCTGTTTTTAGTTACCAGTAGATTGCAGCGGCCTCAAAACATTTTTGCAAATTAAAGAAATAAAGGTTCTATATATTACAAAATATATATTAAACAAAAACATGCAAACAAATGGTTCTATTGCAGCTTCTTAAAGGCTTCTAGGACATCTTCTCGCGGTATTTCTTCCAGCGCGAACACAGTATGCATATATGATTCATATTTGTCCTGTCGTTCTTTTAAACACTGCCGTTCCTCCAATTTACTGGCGAACATTCGTTGGAAAAGTAATGCGACACAAGATCGACACTCGGAGGACTGAAAATGTTTTTGCTGGCACAAGATTGACAGTCCATTTCATAAATCTGTCTCTATTTAGCCCTATGTCGATCCTATGAAAAAATTCTTAAAAATAACTTAATGCCAAATTTCTTATCTTCTTGATTATGATAGACTTTTTAAATAATAAGATCTCTCTACACTTTGAAAATGTCAAATTTATGTTGATGCCGATCTTGCACTGTGTCGATGACATGTCGATGTCAAGCATATGCAATGTCGATTGTGTGCCTGTGATGACTCTGCGTTGCGGACAAAATGTGCAGTAATTCTCTTACTTATTATTATATCATTATTTTTATTTTATCTTGTCTATCATCGCTTGTAACTAGCATAGATCATGATCAGACAATTTCAATTCTACAATGTCTAGGCCTAAAAATGTTGTGCAGGAGGCATAGCAAGAAGGTGGACCGATACTGCACCTATGGACAGAGAGCAAAGCTTTATGCTGTAGTCGAAGCTAATTGATTTCGGGCTATCAGCCAATAGCCGTTAATCAATATATCATTCAGAGTGGTTCTTTTAATCTGTACATGATACTTTACATTATAAATAGGTTTCTTTTTTTGTTGCTATGCTTCTCTTGAAGATAAAATTAAGGCATTATTTTTACATGTATGAGAGAAAGAAAATACGCCGTTTATACTAACGGTGTATTTAGTTTCACACATTCATTTGATCACACATTCATTTGATCACACATTAAGCACAAAATGATGGCAAGTGAATGTGTGATGGCATTTAACAAAAGCCATCACACATTCACTTGATCATTACTTTGTTTAATGGTGCTAATGTCTTACTGTTTACGATTTATTATGCTGTATGGAGATTTCATTGTTTCAGACATTTTGTATTATTAGTGATTTTGTTTGACTGTATAGGGTTTTGAGCAAACTACGTTTGAAAAGGGGAACATTCTTGCATCAGCAGAAGATCAAAGAATTTTTATTTTATGGTAGATAGAGCTAAGATAACATATATATCCTTTTCTTTCATTTGACTAACGCAAATGTGCTTTTTTTCTTGTAGCATTGCCTTTGAAGTTTATCATGAAGGGCATGTCGATGGGGACTGTGATGTACAAAGTGCGCTCCCCCGACCGCTGGTACAGACGAAAATACAAAGTGGATATTCAGAATATGAGGCTGACCTACTCTCCTTCTACAAAACCGTTTTGGAAAGGAAAGATAACGACAGGTATGTTTTGTGATCACTTAGTTTCACTAGACTGAATCTTTAATACATGTATTATGTAATTCCTATTTTATTCAATAGCTTAATTATAAGGAGTACTTAAGGTAAAAGCTATTTATGTATTTCTTTAGCTAAAGTTTCTAGTAAAATCTAGATAAAAGTGATATTATATTTATTTGCAATAATAATATATGTGATACATTTTAAACGAATTTTTTAAAACTGTCGTGTATAAAAACACATATAATTTAAGAAGACATTATGAAAACATATCAAGTTTAATTTTTTTATGGCTGTAAAAAAAGTCTGTCTGAAAGTGTAATGCATTTGCAAAGTTAAACTTAATTCACTCCTAAGGCTATGCACATGTTATTAACCTAGTCGACTTCGCGATAAACAAATCTAACTATATGAATATTGATAAGAATAAAACTAAACATTTATTTGCAATATGACTTGTAGGTACTTCTGAAAATGCAACAACATAGCCACTGCTCCTTATTGGTTTTGGAGTCATGTATGATGCTTCAACTAAATTTAACGTCTGTGCAACCCAACTCCCAAATTAGGCATTATTTCTAAGCATTGGCAAAACGCCAAAAAATACTCGCTGAAACCAGCTTGGACTAGCACTGCTACTATGCGACTATACTGTTTCCCCGAAACTAAGACTTAATAATAAGCCCTAGAAGGGTTTTTCAGAATACCGCTAATATTAGTCCTGCCCCTAAAATAAGCCTTAGTTGAATTCATCAGCCAGACAGGATCCTTATTGCCGAATGACCAAGTCCTGAAGCTAAACATGCACATTTGCAGCAAACGTACTTGGTTTGGACAAATTATAATCTTCAGTATTCAATACGTCGAATTAGCAATGGATGTTTAGCACTTGATTTAATAAATTATAAGGATAATACATTTTGATGCCCGGATAAAATGAGTGCAAAAAAGAAAGAACTCTTCCATCGAATACAAGAAAAGTATTATAGAAGACTCCATGGATAAAGAAGTTGGATCTACAAATGGCCCGAGAGTGGTGATCAAAGTGTCATAACCTATGTCAACAGGCCGACAAGGGAAATGCCAAGAAGCGTAAGTCGGTCGGCAACCATTTACTTCTTGAATTGGAATACATCATCTGTGAAAGAAGAGCAAAGTATTTTGTTGTTCACAGGGCTGATATTCAAGCACTTGCCCTTGCAGTGGTACCACAGCTAAATATATCGCCAGAAGAATTCAAAGCATCACAACACTGGGTGGATGGCTTCCTTCAGCGATATGAATTGCCTCTAAGAAGATCAACAATACTGTTAAAAAGTGGAAGATACTGAAGTGATTATACGCATTTGCATCGATGTGTTTCATTGATGGCATCGACTTCTAAGTACCAAATTTCGAACCGGTGAAGTTAATCAGACTACCAATGATCTGACGGTTGCCTCTGCGATATACATTCTCTCCACTATTTACGAAAGTGCACGTATTACATGTATTTTGAAAGTTCGTCTAGATGAAAAAAAAACCGTCTATTATCTCTGACGGCAAGGAAGAGGAAATTGAACGTGTTTTAGGTATTTAATGCTCTTGAGACTGAAAATGGTTGGTGCACACAAGAAGCAAGTCGATTTATTTCCGTCACTTGTTTTGCAAGGTGGCCAAAGAAGTATGCTATTATGGAATTCTGCAACATTCACCACCCTAAAACCATGAAGAACTTCCTTGCACAAAAAAGAATTGATCAAACAATGATTATTTTATAAATGACTGCATATTTCCAAACTTTTGATACTGCAATAAACAAGCCATTTACGCACGGAAGTCAAGGACTATATTGAAAATAGAATGGAGAGAAATCAACTAGGAAATTTTGGAATCTTAAGTTACATGAAGTTTTTACTTGTAAAGAATGCATAGGTTAAAAATAACGGACAATTGGATTGCTAATGCCCTAAGAGCAGTCTACATGGACAAGAAGAGTTCATTTGAGGAGAGCTCAGTTGCTTAATATGGGAAGCTAGGACCAATTATTTTAGAGGAAATGAAATCGCAAAACCAGGCCGTAATTCGTGATCTGGAGGTTCATGACGGTGTTCCAGAAGACGACATGGCTTCATTAGAATAAATGATTTTGCTCATTTTTTAATGTTTCTTGAACGTGAATAAATGTAACGGTTTTGAACCTGACGAAATATGCTTCTTGAACATGAACAAATGTTAATTACTGCACATGAAAATTAAGCCCTAGCATGTCTTTTTCAGCAAATATTTTAATGTAAGACCGGGTCTTATTTTTGGGAAACACAGTATGTTGCCTAACTCTCTCACTCTTTCTGAATTTACGCCTCCGCTCGCTAGTTAAAATCCACTTAATTCGTATTCTGATGAGACTGACAAAAAAGAAGAGAATAGGGCAGAAATAACATAAAAATTACGTATTAATTAAAATAAATTTTTACATACTAACTTTTAGAAAGATCTTAAAAGCGTACAAATCAAAATTCTGGTTGGAAATGAATTTTACTTCCTGTAACAAAGATTCTGTCCAAATATGATCAATTTTTTTATAATATTTTAAACTATTATTATTAAATTATGTTATTAAATATTTTGTGAACTAATTGAAAGCATTCAAGTTCACTTCAAGGCATTTATTCTATTAAATAACATAACATTATAACAGTGAATTTTATGGTCTATAATAGCGTTTATTCTTTATTTATGGGAACAATATTATAGCTATCTATAAAAAAAGGAAAATTCACAATGATGCTAAATGAAAGTGGAAATAAGTAATAAGATTTATTACAACCGTTATTTTGGGAAATAATGCACTACTTTCTTTGTTCTTCGTTCTTTAAAACTGTATCAGTTGGAAGGGTAGGCAGAAGATGATGCAATTCCAAATTTTTAAGATAGATATTTTTTTTTTAAATTTTTATAATAATTTTAGCACAAAAATGTTTTACTGGCTTTAATAATAAGTTTAAAAGTCATTAAACGAGATTCATTTAATTAATAACAATAGCAGTAAGCCAATGACAAACAGTTCCCCACTCAAATTTTTTAGTTCTACAGTCCGCCTTCTAAATGATAAACATTATCATATTTAGATATGCTTTCATTTGATATAAAAGTTTCTATACATTTAAAGCAATCTGGCACTAAGATAAAATATTTCCCGGGGTGTCCCATCGTAAAAGTGGCTGCATCTTTCTGAAGAACAATTCTGAGCATGACGAAATGCGGATACATTTATGCTGGAATCCGCTGTGCGAGCAGGACTTTTCTGCTTTATTAATTAAAACAGAAAACTAGAAAACTAAAACGCGCCTTTCCTAACTATTCCGAGGCGTAAAAGTTCCCGCTTTATGAAGGTTATTTTCTCTAAGCTAAAACTAATCTCATAAGGATGCAGACATCTTTGAGACGAGGCATTCTTGTTATTCTGCTTCAGCCAATAATGGGCGATTGGCGTGAATGTGATGATACTTTTAGTGGTACGGTTATAAAGTAGTCGCAATGGTTGCATTAGTAACTATATTTAAGAAGCAGTAATGGATTTATGAAAAAGCGGCTGAGGTCAAGTGAAGGTGTAGGGCAACTCATCTTAAAACAAAGGATAGGTTTACTGAAAAAGTTAATTATCCTAAATTAGGAGGTTCTTTGGAACCCGCTGGCCTCATCGCTATTGTGACATACTTTTGCCACAAATATTTCCCATAATCCTACGCTTAGAAGGCAATGCAGAGCTAAAGGCTTTAAGTGGAGCATTTATTTGTCTACATTTGTCTCCTGAGTTTTAAACTAATACCACCATTTCTTACAAGAGCAGTGTCGAATCAAGTTTTATTCTAAATAATAATCGCATTGATATTCCTAATCAAGTAATTCATTATCATATAAGTTTCATATGAAATCAGTTTTATTTTGAGTAACTGGATATAACGACCTAAGGAACGATTTGGCTAAAGTTCGTGCTTAAGAGAAACATCTATATTAATTAAGTATGAGCTAGTAAAACGAAAAGGAAAATTTCTCAATTTGCCTCGGTAATAGCGATTCATTTCCTTTAAAACAGCAGTAATTTCATTTAAGTGTTGTAACCTTTTATAATATGGCATCTCGTATAACTAAAGATAATAAGAACGGAAATTTCCCTCTTTTCTAATTGGTATACTAAAAGACGAAAACCTGACTTGTTTAAACGCTGCAGAATAATCATACATCAAAAAGTAAAGATTTATCGAGCTTTGAAAAAGTATGAAAGATATGAACGTTTTGATATTGATCAAAATTTCAAAAAGGAGATCCGAAAAACTAAGAAGCAAATCATGAAAATGGTTAAAAGAAGTTTGCACAGAAACTGGACATTTCTATCTTTTAATTCCCTTAAATAATAACTTTTCTTTGAAAGACAAATGTGTAAAAACTACACTATACCTTCGCAGGAATTCGAACCCCTGATCTTCCGATAACTAGACGGTTGTACTACCAGTTACACCACAAAAGGGCGCACCCAGTTCGATGTACTTCAGAATTAACCTTTCGTTTAATTAAGGAAAAGATCTGGGTATAAAATCTCATATAAAACGACTACTATAAAATGCGTGCGTGTGATTATGCAAAGCCTCGAGGACTAAGGGGAGGAATGCCTTCGTGGAGGACTTCCTAAGGGAAACTGGCTCGTATACAGGTTACACATGGGGAAAACCACAAAAACGCTCATGCAGCCCGTTCGCGGCATTCGAACCTCGGATCGAACTACAGTGTTCAGCGACTTTACCGCTCGGCCGCTGGTGGACCCTACTATAAAATGCAAGTAAGATTAAGAAATTCGAGCAAAATGAGATTACTCTTTATGTACCACAATGTTTCTGAACCAGTCTTTTCTTCAGGTAACTATAAAGGATTCTATTTATTTAAATCAATGCTTTAAAAATTATGATTCCTTTCATGAAATAACATCGCCAGAAAGATTTCTTTTTCTTTTTTGCCTGGATTTA